AGGCTTCTATTTAAACAAGGATAATATTCACTTTTCAAGGAAGAAAATCAAATAGAAATTTCAAATTGTCAGCTTGAGAATATTGAGTTGAGTTGGGGTATGTCTAGTCTCTATATACAGACTCTACATTCAGTGAATGTAGAGACTGTAGGCAAACCCCGGAGATCTTGCCTCCGGAAGAAGAGTGGAAGAGCCCTGGTTTCCGGTTGTAGGCTGTTTGTAGTCCGCGTGATATTGATCAATCACGTTTGAGCCGGCTGCAGTTGTTGCCAGGTTAAACAGTCTGTGCGGTGAGCTAACGAGGCGGAACATAATTGACGTCACTGCAAACTCTGAATCCATTGTAATGGTTCAGCATATTTACTTATATATAAACGGAAGTCGGAAATGGAAATTTGCCTCCTCCACCCAAATCAAACCGGAATGCCAAAAAGTCGGGGGTCTACCCCCAGAGGCTGTATTCGGCATCTGCCAGAAGTCAGACGCAGAATACAGCCGATGGGTTCCGAGAATGGGGTATGTCAGATTAACTTCATTGGTGCTGGAACAAAACCGTTGTTGAGACATGGCCTTGGTGAGCTCATAGCGCAGCCGAATGGACAGGACATTTCACATATCATAATAAGACCATTATATCATGAAACATATGAGGCAAAAAGAAAACCAAAATTTTTAACTACAGAATTTACCTTAAAGTGCTAAAAGTTTACAATTGAGGAGTCGCAGAGCTTTAAATGAAAACATGTCAACTGGAGGATAGTTTTATTCACAATGACATTCATTTCTTAATAACGCTGTGTTATCAGTTGCAAAATGTCCCACGAGTTTCAGTTGCAGTATGAAATTCAGCACCATGGACAGCGACCTGCTAGTTTATCAACAAAGCATCACAAGATGACGTATACCACATATCTGTTTTTTGGTTGGTGCTTTTTCACTTTAGATACATTTTTAGAGAAACCTTGATGATAAAATTGCATCCGCCAAGCAAAAAAAAAAAGATGCAGTGTAAGCCAGTATTTAGGTTTGTGACTCTGTCTGAATGTGTTTTGCCCTAAAACTCTGTGCACTTTTCCAAACTCTGAAACTTTGCCATTTATCCAGGGTTATTTCCATTCTGCGATTCGGGAGCATCCACATGCAAATAAAGCTGACGGGAATGATATATTTGGCCATGCTAACACCTCGCCCACACATTTAATATGTCTACAGATACACACACAGCTGCACTCTTCTGTATGCACATACGGCAGGCTTATATATACACACCCACCCACTCATGCATACACACTTCACCTACGCAGATTAATACACACATGCTCAAACAGGAGCAGAAGCAGCAATGAATGAATTATTGGGAGTTTGGTTATGACCTGCAGCTACATATGGCCCTGCTGTTCTAATGTCTGTGAGAATCTGTGTGTGACCTGTGTTAAAACATGTCTAAAACAAAAGGCATTAGTCCAGTAGACCAAACTAATGTGATTTTCTATTAATGTGATGCCCTGGGTGTGTGTGAGTGTGAGTGTGTATGTTTGATCCTCTGTGTTAGGTGCTGAATGGACTGCACTCACACCTTCAATTTGTGTCAGCTCATTAATTTACAACCACAAAGTCAGGCTTGTCTATTCATTACTTAATTTTAAACACACACGCACACGTGCACGCACACGCACACACACACACACACACACACACACCATTCAAAACTTACAAACACACACAGACAATCCCACACACACAGTGAGTCTTCTTAATACCTGGCAACCTTGTCAATGATTAAATGACTCCTCTTAAGTACTGTGTGTGTGTGTGTGTGTGTGTGTGTGTGTGTGTGTGTGTGTGTCTGTACGTATGTGTGTACGTGAGAGAAAGAGAGAGAGAGAGAGAGAAAGAGACAGAGAGAGAGAGAGAGACGTGGATGAGCACTAAATCATTTGAAAATGAAAGAGTGATTGTGTGTGCAATAAATCTGCTTAGGTGTGTTGGTGTGTGTGTGTGTGTGTGTGTGTGTGTGTACATTGATATCACAGTAAATCTTGCCTGCCTCTGTGTGACTTAATGCATATTGCTAAATCTATAAATGTAACCAATTAAGTGCGTGGTTGTAAATCTGCGCCACAAACTCATGCAAATGAAGTCCTTAAATCTCTGGATGTGACTTAACTCAACACAAATTACACCTGACACATTTTTACAGAGTGCTCAAACATGTGTACATTGACTCACAGCGGTAGCCACGGTAACAATCCACATCCAGCATCAAACGTTTGACTTCTGACTAAACACTATGGCAGGGTGCAGAAGCCCTTCAAAGGGCAAAGTCTCATGAAGGTATATCATGGACTGCAAAGCTACTAGCAGTATCTGTTTATGTTAAAAATAAAAATGAAAAGCATTCAGATGTGTTCATGGAATGGATGGAGCTTACACTGGACTTAATTAGAAATTGTTCAGAAAGCAAAAGAAAGAAAGAAAAAGAATCTTAATGAAGTCCAAAGAAAAGTTGCATGAGTGTTTATAGTCTAGGTGGAGAAGAAACACCAGTAATACAATGGAAGCTTTAACAGTGTTGCTTTTGGCCAAATCGCTTGGTTTTTCTCAACTTACACAACTGCATGTTATAAAGAGGGGGGGCACAGCTGAATGTAAACTTGACCTAAATAACGCTATTGACAAAAAATGACCTATTGTAGCTCAGCTCACCATATTTTATCCTGCACTGCTGGTGGCAACAGTAGCTCCGTCAGTGGGGACTTAGCTTGGGAACCAGAGGGTCACCTGTTCAAGTCCATGTGCAGACCAAGTGTGAAGCTGGAGAGATGCCAGTTGACCTCCTTGGTAGTGCAGAGTGTCCTTAAGCAAGGCACCAAACCCTCAAACTGCTCCAGGGGCACCGTATTATGGTTGATCCTGCGCTATCCCTATGAAACTTTCATCACATGTGTGTATTATGTTTAAAAAGAGGTAGACATCATAGTAGAGGACCGCTTTGGGATTTAGATCCTATGGGTTCCATGGGACCGAACATAAATCTTACAGGGCCAGGTGCTTTTAACTTTGCTGTGGGTGGGAGTGGGATGTCAAAAAATAAACTGCAAGTCCCGTAATTCATTGCAATACAACTAAATTATGAGTGTTATTCATGATCAGGTCTCTTTACCGGCTCACTCTGTGTGCCTGTCATTCAGGGTGAGCATGAGAGTGTGCAGGCTCACTGGCCTATGACATCACTGTTGTGGCTGTTAAGCGGTGGATTTTGAGTGTCACAACCCCTGTGAAATGACTACTGTCATTAGAATTAGAATTTGGTCAGATAACATTTGGAAAGTCGAGAAGAGCTGCATGATTGAATTATGTTATCCCCATTTAATTTAGCAGGGGACTAAATTGGCTTAACTGGCAGAAGTCCCTCATCTGCATGGCCATTCTGTGAAAGATGCATTTTTTTGTTGATTAGGGTTGCAACCCCCCTTCAGGTTGCGGGTGTGGACTGGAGCAGACACACAAACTACAGAAGACACACCTGTATAATGAGAAGTCCCGCTGCTTTGGCCTCTAGTAGTTCCTCACATTGTAGAGACAATCGCCTGGATTAGTTTTGTTCCTCAAGAAAAAATCTGAATCTGGTGATTATTAAACTAATTTTGTGGTTATATGGGGCACGTTTTGATACTGTATGATTTCTAAATGGATTTGTGGACGTTTATCCTCCATTTACATGTGAGATCCTGACACCAGTGTGAGTTAGCAGTGTGTGATGTCTTTGAGCAGTCAGATTGTTCCAATCTGGTGTTGGAGAAAAAAAAATGATGCGATTTTATTCAGAGTGCATTATAATAACATAATATCCAAATGATATTCATATTTGCAGCCCTGATGCAAACACTGGTTACTGCCAGTATTGCATAATAAACGACTAAGTGAAAAAACAAACAAGGAAGTGAGACTGAGGAGGTACTTTTGGGCAGATGACAGATCCAGAGGCTTTATTGCTGCAGGGCAGAGGCTGTAATTCAGTGGAAAGGCCTTTTGGCAAGTGTCTGAAGGCTTCAGTTAAAACGGAGCACATCTATCTGAGCCTCAAACCATGAAAGGGAAAAAAAAGAAGTCAGAGGACCAAAGGACAGGGAGAAAAGAGAAGGAGCAGAGAGGGAGAGGAAGGGCAGGAGGGGGAGGGGGAGGGAAGTCCATTTGGGAAAGCTCCTTGTCATTTTCCGTGCTGACCTCTACGTCTCACCAGCTCCTACTTGTCTCCCATCTACAACTTGTTTTCTGTTCGTTCCGGTTGACCTGCTCTCACCCCAACATCGCAGCACTTCCTCTCTTCTTTTCTCTGTCTTCATCTGGTCTCGACCTCCTCATCTTCTTTTATTTCTCTGAATCTCTGCTGTCACGTCTCTCATTTTTTCTGCAGTGTTTGCTCTTTTTTTATTTCTTAGTTTTTCAGTTTCGTGCAATATATCAGGGAGCGTGATGAAAAATGCCTAATTTGTCTTTTTATTCTTTCCTTCAGATTTGTAATTACAATTCCAACTTTTACCTTTATTAATATCATTTCCTCTGCCTTTGACATGTATGAAGTATAACATTTTTCTTATGTTTCCCTACAATCTTTTGCGCTGTTGCCCCCTCCTTCACACAAAAAAAGACAACACACACATACACACACTTTCTGAAATTTATATTCTATGTTTTATTGCCTTGAAGGTAAAGAACAATATCACCAGAAACAAGATAAAGCAATCTTCCTGTCACTCACACTCTCTCTCTTTCTGTGTCTCTCACCCTCAGTTTTTGATGATTGTTCATATTTTGCTTCCTAACCTATTTGAGTTTCTAACTCTGTTCTGTGTTTCCATCAGTGTTTCTCCCCCCTGCTGTTTAATGCAGAGCTGCATTTGGAGTCTGCCTGCTGTATAATGGCCTGTTAACTGAATATACTGTATATCTACCAGCACGTTCTCAGTGTGTTTCTGTCTCTTTTTCTCTCCTCACAGTGGACGGATGTATAGACTGGTCGGTGGATCTCAAGGAGTACCATGTTCTGGCTGGTGAGCCTGTTCGGGTGAAATGTGCCTTGTTCTACAGCTACATCCGAACCAACTACACCATGGCCACCAACGCCAAGCTACGCCTCATCTGGTACAAGAACAAAGGAGATGCAGAGGTAAGATTATTTGGAGCAATAGCTGATGAGGTAGGTGGGTGTGGACCACATGTTCTCAATCCAAACTCATCAAACGCTTGGTTAATGGCCCTACACGTCACACTATGACGCTCTAGGTACCTCTTTAGCGTCAGGTTTGGACTAGGGCTGCCACGATTAGTCGACTAATCGATGACTAATCGACTATTAAAATAATCGGTGACTATATTAGTAGTCGACTAATCGGTTTGAGTCATTTTTCATAGAAAAGCACTATAAAAGTTCCCCAAAATACTCTTACTGCAGCTTCTTACGTTCAGATATTGGCAGCTTTACACACTCTCCCGTGACAGTGAACTAAAACCCTTTGGCGTGAGTATGAAACAAGACATTAGATGACGTAATTTTGGGGTTTGGGCGAGACAGGCCGACATTTTTCAACATTTTAACACATTTTTCGATGAAATGATTAGTCGACTAATCGAAGAAATAATCGACAGATTAGTCAACAATGAAAATAATCTTTAGTGGCAGCCCTAGTTTGGACCGTCAAGGATGGTGAGTCAGTTTCACCTTGAAACATGCATAGTGTGTGTTTATAATAAAGGTACAGTTTCCATGCATTACATGCATACAGTATCTTTTCAATCTCAACTTCCAACATAGGTTTGCTTTCAGTAACAAAGTACTTGGATGAGTTCAGAAAAAGTCATGGTTTGGGTTAACATTAGGGATGTTCCAATCAAGGTTTTTGCCCCAATCCAAGTCATTTAATATTGAGTTTCTGCTGATACTGAGTTCCAATCCGATATCTTTTTTTCTAGATAATACAGCTGCATAGCGCAGACTCCAAGTGCTTTAAAGTTGGAGTGGTGAAACCCCTTGCATCATAGTTAAAAGCAAAACCAAGAGACTCACAGACACGCAGAAGTGACAAAAGTGCCTATAACTTCAATAAGTAACGTTAATTAATAATCTCATAGTGCCTTTTTGTTTATGGTGTGTGGTGTTCTGCAGCAGGCGGCGCTAAGCCAGAGTGGAGGAGAGTTGAGGGAGGCTGCACTCTGCGTTGCTGTGAATGACACCTTTGTGACAGCTGACGTAAAACAAAGGATGTAATCAGGCTCTAAACAGCTCAGTTAAGCCGATCCCAATCAGTTAAAAAATGCCTGGATCAGCCAAGATACAGATCTTTTAGATTATAAAGGACATTCCTGGTTAAAATAAGTACCTTAGTTAGTAATGTAACATGACGTATGTCATGTGTTTGACATCTAATACATCACATATGTCCTGTTACACACACTTAACCACAATACCCAGTCAAAATGACTCATTGTTGACTTTTGGTTTCACACAGGACAAGCACCTGAGTCTGTTGGACCCATCCATAGACAGGGACTTTCTCGCTCTTCATACTACATCAGTTGCTCTGAGTGTCTAATGATAATGCCACTCTGTGCATTGATACAGATATGCATTTTGGTATTGGACAGATCAGAAGTGTGAACAAGTTGGTATGGAAGTCAAACACTAACAGAGACAAAATGAAAATAATCATGCAAATAAAAATTAAATGTGTCTTATGGAGTGCTTATTTTAGCCATTTTTTTCAATGAAATAATTAGGTTTGAAATGTATATCAAAATTAAATCACTTAAAAGTAAAACAACAGAAACTAAATAATCCTGATCAAATACTGTCATTATCATCCATTGCCAATGGTCACCCAGGGATTTATAAAATGTTCTTACTGAAAGAATGAACTCAGTTGACAGTAGACTTCCCTAAAAAATAGGAGAATATAACAAAAAACATCATTTATTGTGACTGAGAAAAGTCTCTTCCATTAAGGTCAACATAAAGTGTTAACTCAGGGCTGCTCAGCAGCAGTGTGGTCGATGCTGCCACTAGTGGCCAGAGGCTGTATTGCAGCATTATTACTGATCACTGTTTTTGGAAGCAGGGTGAGAAGCAGAATGCAAAATGGAAAAAGTTTTACCCAAATTTGAGAGAGAAGATTCAGGCTGTGAGGATGCATTTGAATTGTATCATGATTTTAGCTCATACAAAATAAAATGGAAATGAAATGGAAATGGAAGTCTGCTTTTTCATTTGAAGAATAGCTGGATTTTTTTCCCAGGCTTGTTTTATTGAATCTGTAAGGGCCAACTATCACAACCAGTAAGAAGGATATGCTGTACCACTTCAATCAAAATTCCCTGATCAGGGAACATCAAGTCCACTGCCTCCATTTTCTGGACCAGGGTCATGTCCCAAATCAATATTACATACTAATTCTAAGCAGATCATAATATCATGTCAATATAAACCATTGAGTATGTTTAAGTTTTGCATATTAGCATGATATCTGCAAAAACAGTGTACAGCAAAGATTGGTATATTACACATATTGTTAATAATACTGAGTGTGAAATTGGGATTCACTCCAAGAAACTGTCTTTACTTTCTTTGGCCTTGCTTGTGTTTGAGTAATAACCAATACACAGAAACTAGAGAGACTGATAAATCATACTGTGGTGCTATAATAGAACGTTGCCCCCCTTTCCCAGCAGTGTGGATTATATCTGGGTGGTAAAACAGGATTTAGCTGGATTAGATTTAGACGTGATGATATGTGTAATATATACATCTCTAATATATACACTGAAACATAATCCTGTGGATAGCACTTTTACACAATACATCTCGGTGCCTTTACATTTAATGTTATATCCTTCTGCTCTGTATCATCATAATTATAATACCTATGTTGACCCACTTGTTCCCAAAGACTGTATTTAGTATGATAAGAAAAATGGCACATTTGGTCTCAATGGTCTAACGTCTTTACATCTGGTATGGATATATTTTGGGCAAGTTTCTAACAGTACAACTTTTACATTTTTAGATCACATGAATAAATATCACACTTCAATTAATAATCAGAGTTAGGATATTTGAAAAATAGATGCCAAATACTTCATTCTTTTACCTGTAGTTTCAGAGATTCAGACATTTTCTCATCATACTATATTTAGTCTTTGGGCACATGGGGCAACAGTTTTTTCCTAAACTATATAGATGATGTTTAAAAAGGTGAGAAACTCACTTTTCAAATGATTGACTGCTTTTGAAAATTTCTTCAGATATGTGCTTATGCAGGCCCAGCAAACACTTCCACAAAAGGAATTTCAAAAGGCAGGCAGAGGGACTTTAACTCTAAGAAGGATTTCATTGCTGGAAAGATGGTCTCTTCATACACTGCCTGGCCAAAAAAAAAGTCACCACCAAAAAAAAAGGTCATACACTCTAATATTTTGTTGGACCGCCTTTAGCTTTGATTACGACACGCATTCGCTGTGGCATTGTTTCGATAAGCTTCTGCAATGTCACAAAATTTATTTCCATCCAGTGTTGCATTAATTTTTCACCAAGATCTTGCATTGATGATGGTAGAGTCTGACCGCTGCACAAAGCCTTCTCCAGCACATCCCAAAGATTCTCAATGGGGTTAAGGTCTGGACTCTGTGGTGGCCAATCCATGTGTGAAAATGATGTCTCATGCTCCCTGAACCAGTCTTTCACAATTTGAGCCTGATGAATCCTGACATTGTCATCTTGGAATATGCCCGTGCCATCAGGGAAGAAAAAATCCATTGATGGAATAACCTGGTCATTCAGTATATTCAGGTAGTCAGCTGACCTCATTCTTTGAGCACATACTGTTGCTGAACCTAGACCTGACCAACTGCAGCAACCCCAGATCATAACACTGCCCCCACAGGCTTGTACAGTAGGCACTAGGCATGATGGGTGCATCACTTCATCTGCCTCTCTTCTTACCCTGATGCGCCCATCACTCTGGAACAGGGTAAATCTGGACTCATCAGACCACATGACCTTCTTCCATTGCTCCAGAGTCCAATCTTTATGCTCCCTAGCAAATTGAAGCCTTTTTTTCCGGTTAGCCTCACTGATTAGTGGTTTTCTTAAGGCTACACAGCTGTTCAGTCCCAATCCCTTGAGTTCCCTTCGCATTGTTCGTGTGGAAATGCTCTTACTTTCACTATTAAACATAGCCCTGAGTTCTACTGTTGTTTTTCTTCGATTTGATCTCACCAAACGTTTAAGTGATCGCCGATCACGATCATTGAGGATTTTTTTCCGGCCACATTTCTTCCTCGAAGACGATGGGTCCCCAATATCCTTCCAGTTTTTAATAATGCATTGGACAGTTCTTAACCCAATTTTAGTAGTTTCTGCAATCTCCTTAGATGTTTTCTCTGCTTGATGCATGCCAATGATTTGACCCTTCTCAAACAGACTAACATCTTTTCCACGACCACGGGATGTGTCTTTCGACATGGTTGTTTAGGAAATGAGAAGCAACTCATTGCACCAGTTGGGGTTAAATAACTTGTTGCCAGCTGAAAGATAATCGCCCATGCAGTGATTATCCAATAGGACGCTCGTACTTATTTGCTTAGTTAAATCCAGGTGGCGACTTTTTTTTGGCCAGGCAGCGTATAAGTGGGCTGTCTATGTAGTGGAAAGGCCCAAACAGTTTTGAAATTGGTGCTACATGACCAGAGAAATCAGAGAAAAAGGGCTGTAGCATTTGCCTTTGTTCAAGAGGTCGAAAACCTACAACTGCGCCACACCGGACCAATAAACACTCCAGCTGATGGGTGGCATAACACAAGTTGGGGTTGGCCAGCTCGTCCAAAAACAATATGGTGGCTGGCTGGTATCAAATAATCTTGTATTACAGTTAAAGAGTAAGCTAAAATATGTTTCTAAAAAACAATTAAAGGGATAGTGCACCCAAAAATGAAAATTCAGCCATTATCTACTCACCCATATGCCGATGGAGGCCCTGGTGAAGTTTTAGAGTCCTTGGTTAATGTTTTATCAACACTGCCTAATTTTACTGTTTGATCTCAGCTGTTTCAACCTGTTTTAAAAACACAGGGAACAGTATTCTGCTCACTTCCTGTTCAGAAACTCTCACATTACAGCCAAACAGTGCACTGAAGACATTTTAGGTGAGAAAGGCAGTGCAGTCAGAGAATCTTGGTTTATATTTGATCAGCACTGCCTGGTTTTACCATTTGATCTCAGTTTGGTGTGTGTCTGAAATAGAGAGAGGGTAATCCACTTCTTTACTCTTTGTGTCCATGGTTGCAGCAGGCGTACAAAAATGAGGAAACACAATCTGTAGTTTGAGCAACAGCCCGAAATCCAGCTCAAATCCGTTAGATGATGCATTTCGCGTCATCTTGTGGATTTTAGCTGAGAGATGAGCAGGGAGATCTGGGCTCTGGTAAGATGGATGACAGTTCACCATAGTTCCTTTACACATACTGCCCACATTGTTATCATACACATCTGGTTGAAAACCAGAAAGTATCCTTTAAAAACACCAGTGTATTGCTTTAACATTGTCTTTGTATTGTGTCCTTTAGGAGCCCATCATCTTCTCAGGTCACAGACTGAGTAAAGAAGACGACTCCATCTGGTTTCGATCTGCTGAACTGGAAGACAATGGGTTCTACACCTGTGTACTAAGGTAAACTTTGCACACAACTTCACATACATACTGACCAATAACTATCATGAGTCAACCCTGAAGTAAAATCTTTTAAAACGGGTTCAGGGCACAACCCTGATTCTTCAAGGAAGCACAAATTTGGATTATTTCTGGTTCAGCTGGGATGCATTGTTGATAAGACTTTGCGAACATCACATAAATGCTGCTCTTCTCCCCACATGGGAGCTAGGTCAAAGTACACTGAACAAAAACACAGACTTTATTTTGAAGTTTCACTTCCAGCCACAGCACATTTGCTTCATAAGACTAAATAAACACAGCAAGGATTTTACCAGCATGCAAACAAAATATTTTTGGCCCGACCCTGACGTGCAGCAGTGCTCTTGGAGTTGCCTCGGTATTGTTGATTTCATCACATGGGAACAACCTTGGAATAGATTTCTGACTCCAAGTGCTCAGTCTGTACCCAGGCGGCCCATTTACATTGAGTTGGCAAATAGCGGCACTGTTTTTGGTGTTTGAATAAGAAAGTGGGGTTTTAGTTGAAACTGCTTAGTATCCATTTTGAGAAGAAAATGCCCCTTGCTCTCAGTAATCAATATTTTAAACCACAGGTGAATGGTATTTCAAAAACTATTAGTTTAACAGTCTTAAATAGTCACCATGAATATTTGCTATGTAGGGGGGTGGGCACTTTAGGTTGCATTACTTTAAGCAACACAATACCATCACGGCAAGGAGTGAAAAAAGACAGTTATTGTTTAGAATTTGAATAAAATGTTCAACAATACTCTTTAAAAATATCCAGTAACCTCCCTAATTCATGCTGTTTGTAGTTACAAAAAAAAAAAAAACAAAACATTAAAAATGAACTTATTTCATAAATTTGTTTGTCTGAACATTACCCTCAAACAGCATTGCACCATTGTGGAAAAGCCTACAGCAATAAAAGTGTTAAAGATCATATTTCAGTAAACTTTACATCAACAGTTAACAATTTATTAAACCAAACCATTGTATCCTCCTTAACAAAAGAAAGTCACATTTTAGTTTCCTGTTGTATGTCTTTCCTGCGTAATGCCACCCTATTTGTTGTGTTGCTGCTGGGTTACCAGCAGTTTGTTGCCTTCCTCACGACTAAATTCTAATTCATCCTCATTAACATCAACAGGGTGTGCTAATTCTACCTTATTTTCCATACAAGAGCCATAAGAAAATGTTGCATTCACGCATGAAGGGATCCTGTCACTTCAAGACAACACTTGTATTTTAACAATTTTCCATGACTGATCATCAGATGAAGTACATAATCAATTAAAAGATAAACCTCACTCATCTGTTATTGTGATTTTTTTTTAATTCAAGATTATAAATGGCAGAAAAAGACTTTTCAGAACATTTGTGTGGAGAGAGATGATGGAGCAACTAAACCATGGGAGAAAGGTCGGCAAAATTGGATTCAACATGGCCTCCGGGGAGTCGTGTGACAAATTAAAACCCTGCTATTAGTTTCCTTAGGGCCCTGCCTTTTTGTATTGAATCATAATCGAGGATGTATTGTGTGAGTTTAAAAGGCAAAAGCTGGATATGTTACCTAAAGGCAACACTGTGTGGGAAATGGTTATTATGCAGCTTAGTCAGTTGGTAGCACATTAGGAGTTTATCTACTATCTTGTTTTGTCATTGCTTCATTACATTTGCTGAGGTCTGTTCAGAACATCAGAACATTTCTCCTGTGTCCAGGTAATGCAGGTTTGTGTGTACCTGCATATTTTCCTTGCTAGTTATGTGGAATGCTGCTAGTTCAGTAAATTGAATATTTACAATATGGCTGTGGGCACTACAGCAAAATTGGCCTGTGTGGCCCTTTAGGAATGTGTGTGTGTGTGTGTGTGTGTGTGTGTGTGCGCGTGTGTGTGTGTGTAAAGTTGTTTGATACTACAGTGGGGGTGGTGGTGGTGGTGGGGTATCAACCCGTGTACCAGTTGGCTTTGTAGCCCAGAACAAGGCTTAAAGTGCAAGCGATGGTGTGTGTGTGTGTGTGTGTGTGTGCATAATGAACTGAATTAAAATATGCCCTGTTGTAAATATGTGAAAAGTAAATATTTTTCTTATAGTCATTCAATTTCCAGAGGGTTGAGTTCATATCCCTGCTTATTTTTGAGTCACCCTGTATCATGATATTTGTTGTTTTAGTTTTAATGAATAACCTTAAAGGTCCAGTGTGAATGATTTAGAAGGACATGCTGTCAGAAAAATAATATAATATTCATAACTTTGTTTATAATCACCTGAGACTAAGAACCTTTGTGTTTTTCTTAACTTAGAATACCCTTTAATACCTTTTTTATATTATATTTATAGCCTTTTTATATCTTTTATAAGTCCTCTTCCACAGAGTTCACATTGTTTTTTCTACAGTAGCCCAGAATGGACAAACCAAACACTGGCTTTAGACAGGGCCATTCCCATTTAAACATCAGCCAATGTAGTTGCTTGGCACACATGAGAAACTTAAGTTGGTTGCAGTCTGAAACCTCACTGCTATATGCAAACTAAACCTTTAACTTTAATTTATGTATTTTTTGTAACTTAGACTCAAAGACATGCATTTTAAATGATATATGTTACATTGAAGTTTATTTTGAAGGCTTTAGGGATTTTTTACTGATGTATGTTGTACCCAAGTTCAGTTTCTGAAGTCTCTAGGTGGTAAATTCAAAGTTAGCAGGGTCGGCCGTGCATGCATTAGTACATATGTGTATCCCACTGGCTAGCTCAACACCACCACTTTCCACTGCTCCTGGTGTTTGCCAATATACTTTTTGCCAAAGTTCATGTTTCAAGAATCGGCGCAACAAAGGGGGGGTGTTGAAAGTTAGCATGACCCATAATCAGAAGGGAGACAACTGTGAGAGACTGGGGGTGAAAAATTCCACTGTTTTCCTTTAATTGTTAATGAAATTGACTCAGTTACAATCTCAGTGGGCAGGACTAGTGTTCCCTTTGCCTTCAGTTGTTGAAATGATAATTCAGATTTCCTGGAGCCATCAAAAACATCTACCAGCCTTCATTGGTGGACATAGCTTTGTCACTTGTCATGGAGGTAGCTTAGCTGTCATTGTTTGACCTAAATATGTAACTTCAATCACATTATAGCAGTGGGGTGTATCTGGAACAAAAAGACAAGACAACATTTATAAAATATTTTATGACAAGGCCATGAGATGTGGTGGAAAATCCAGGGAAGAGTGAGTACGTCGGCCTGACAACCTTTTTTGATATGTTTTCGAAGTTAAGTTTTAATGTCCCAGTTAAGTAGTTTAGATAATCTGGCTAAAATAATTACTCTATGTGATCATATCCAATAGGAATGATGGCCGAAACCTTGACAGTAAGACCTAAATTGTAGTTCAACAGAATTATTCTTTAATCAAAGGTGATCAAGATATTTGCAATTTTCCAATATCTGCCTTTGAAACTGTAGAAGCTTTAGATTTGGCTGCACCAGAGGAACAGCTTTCCTCCCCCTTTGTGTCATAAATCCCCATCTCCCCTCTCTACTTGATCCTGTTTGTCTCCCTCCTCTGCATACCTTCAACACCTTCACTGTCTTCACCGTCCCTTCATCCCACAAGCAGCCTCCATCTTTTTCCTCCATCTCCTGTTTTTCTTCTCTTGCTTCCTCCTCCTGTTCCATCCTCCTCCTTTTGCCTCTCTCCCACTCCTCCTGTTTTTATCTGCACCCGATTCTCCTCACCTCTCCTCATCACGCTCCCCCCATCCTCTCCTCCTCCCCCTCCTCTGCTCTCCTCCCACCTCCTTTTCCTGCCAGAGCTTGACACCTATCCTCCTTAATAAGCTCTCTCTCCCTCTCTCTTTCTTTCTGTCTTCCCCTCGCTCTCTCAGCATGACAACCTAATTAGGGCTTGGTGTCTGTCATTGTCTCAGGGTCTCTTATTAACACACACACACACACACACACACATACATACATATTGAGGCACAGCACCTCCTATCCTAGTGGGGAGCTACCAACTGGATCATATTATATTACTAGGAGGTTGTATCTAGAATATGTCACTATGCGCAGAGAAAACCGATGGGAGAATGTACTTTTAAATGTATTTATTGCCCTTCATCTGATGTGTATTGTTGTTTCTGTCATATGTTGCCCCTATATACACCCACTGCCAGCGCTCTGAGATAAAAAGCCACTTTTTCAGAATTAGTTTCACATTTCCACCTGATACTCAGCTCTGACTGACATGAGGTGAAGTCAGGTTTATGCAGGTACAATAAAAACATCAGATTAATCTCAGTGGCAGCCATAACCTGCCTTAGATAGATCAAATGGGTCTAATCTTGCATAAAAATGTTACCATGTATGGTTAGATACTTCATTTATCTCCATATACTGCCAAGGTCCAACAATGAATCTTCTCTCCAATATGTCAACTTTACAGAAATTGGTGCGATGTTTCACCTTCACAGCCATGCTGCTTACACATTGTACAAATCACTATAAATGGTTTGCCTTGGTAACAGTCATCAACAGTAAATTCTAGGTGAAACAAGGTAAAGAGTAGACACAAACGATATATTGGGCAGTGGAACAACATCAGGAGGAGCCAAGGAGGATGTTGAGTCTTACATCTGCTTCATGGTACCGTTATTTAATTATGTACTGTATGAGTCTCCAAGTGATGTTAGAGTAGAGAACAAACTAGTGCTGCGCGATTAATCTAATCGCAATCGCGATGTCAGGCTGTGCGATTACGTAACCGCATAAAAGGCTGCGATTTGCGATTTAATGTAGGCTAAATAAATGTTAACGTGCGTGCCTGTGAACGTGACTGCCTCTCCTGTAGTGTGTGGAGTTTGTTGACATCACGCCCACAAGCTATCCTGGTGCGTGCAGCCGGCGTGCAGCAGTGACCAACACAGACGCTGAAGAAGAGCATGAGCTCGACCATGAACAGGCTGAGTTGGTGGCGAAAAAAACGTCTGTTATATGG